TTTTTTTTTTTTTAATAAAGAGAATAATCATGTGACAGTTTCTATTCTGCAATTCTTAGTTTCCACACACTGTATGTTTTCCAAAGAAGAAGCACCCTCTGTGCACCACACCTGCCTCTATACAAACACCTCCAGCTCACATCCGGTGTGGGCGGAAGACCACAGACCCTGTCCCTGTCCCAGGCCTTGGTTAGAGTTCATCCAGCCCTACCTGGTGCTTTCTCTCTTCTCTTCATCCCTAGGGCGCTTGTTGGTTACTTAGTTCAGGGAATTCACTATACGAATCAGTAAGAGCAGCCAAGAGAGCTGTGAACAGTGGTTGCACATCTTATTGATTTCAAACTTTCCACTTAGAGCAAAGTGAGTGCTAAGGTGAAGGCCGCTTCTCATAAGATGCCACAGAGGACCCTCTTCTCTGAGTGGGGGTGACAGGCACCAAGCAGGCAGCCGCTAAGTCGGCTCTGATTTTCTAAGAGGCAGCGAGGGGTGAAAGGAGCTGGCAAGGGAGGGGCAGAGTGGGCCGAAGGGGCCGAGCCTGTGACCCGGGGAGACTGACCGGGAGAGGATGGTGGGGGCAGACGCCAACCTGCAGGCCCCTCAGCCAGCCCCAGATCCAGGCGAGGGGAAAGTCCCTGGGGTCCCCGGCACAAGCTGCCCAGATGGTAACAGGGTCCAAAGTTTAATGAGGTCAGAAATCAGGCTCAGGGTCTGAGGCAGCTTTGCATGCAGACTCTGAGGCCCTGGACTCAGGCCGGTTTGTACTAGGGCAGCCTCGGACTCGGGCCAGGCACTGGCCAGGGCTGGGTGTAGGAAGGCGGCTGTACTATAGTTGCTTGAAGAAGTTTCCCAAGTTTTCGGACACAGGTAGGCTAGACAAAAGTCTTCTGTGGCAAGTGCCAAGGAGACCGTGCAGGGTGGACAAGTCCTCGGACAGAGGGAGGGATTGCTCAGGGGCCTTCACTTTGTGGGGAGAGGAAACTGCCCCCCCCTCCCCCCCACACACACACACCTCAGGGCAGCGGGGAGGGGAGGCCCACCTTCAGCTCCAGGTCGGTGTAAATCTGCGGCCTCAGCAGGCTAAGGAGGTAGGACGCTCGGGAGAACTTAAACCCTGGAACGGAGCAGATGAAGGCCGTCACCGTCGGTCACCAGTGCCCCCCCCCATCCCGCACCACCTCTTGGGGCTCACCTGGGATGATCTCCTCAGTGACAGCAGCACCCCCCACCACGTGGCGTCTCTCGAAGACCGCTGTGTTCACCCCCAGTTTCTGAAGGTAGGCTGCCTGCAGCACAGCGGGCCCCCATGCCGGTCTCAGGGGCCTGGCCCCAAGCCTGCATGCCCCCGCTCCTGCCCCTGGGAATGCGCTTGACTTGCACCCCCTCTCCCCATCTCCCAGAGGCCCCGCTAAAATCCCACAAGAAGCTCCTGCCTCTACACTTCTTGGGTGAAGCTGATCCACACTCGAGCACCAGAGGCAGCGCAGAGAAAAAAATTGTTCCACAAGCGCTGTGCCAGCCGTCTACTTCCAGCCCCCTGACTCTCTCCCTGCAGGTGCAGCCTAGCTCATCTGGCCTCGGTTTCCCCATGAGCAAAAATGGGACAGATGAGATAAAAGTCCCCGTGTCTGCTTCAGAGGACTGCGGTGGGGACTCCCTGCCCTGGTCCCGAGGGCTAAGGTGTCCCCGGCACTCCGCACACACTCAGCAAGTGAGGCTAAGGTCACAGCGCAGCTTTATTTGGGAGGCTTTAATTAATGTTTCTCTAGCACTTAGAGGGAAATCATAACTGTTGGTTGACTCACACTCGCCCTGGGTTATAGACCTAAAATGGGGCCTGCCGCTCCCCATCACCAAGGTGACCGCAGGGTGTAGTTCTGAGGTCAGGCATTCAAGCTCACTTGGCAACTGCCCCCTGCCAGATGTTTGAGTGGGTCATCTCATCTGGCCCACCCGCCTTCCTCGAGGTGGGCATGTGAGTCTCCCCACCTCGCAGGTGAGGAAACTGGGGCTCAGTGAGGGCCAGAGCTTGCCTCAAATTCAAGAAACTGATGAGCAGTTGGGAAATGAATCCAGACGGCTGGACCTAGGGTCAGGATCCCTGACACATCCTCAGGAGGAAGGAAAGAGGACAGCCTGGCATTGGGAAGCTGGCCTGGCCCTCAGCGGTCACTCTCAGGACCACAGCCTCACAGGGTGATCCGAGACAGTGAGGGGGTCATCCCTGCTTTCTGACAGCCTATAATCTAAAGCAACCCCACATCCTTGGCTCCTCCCCCACACTGTCCAGCTAAAGTGTGACTCCTACAGAAGGTTCCTCCCGAAACCCTGTTGCTGAGACACCGGTTCGTGTTTCCCCAGGGCGCTGCCCCGGGTCACCAACCAGCCAGATCGACTGCAGGGGAGCTAGGTCTTTGGCCAAGGGGCATCCGTGCCAGCCTCCCAGGCCGGAGGCCACCGTAACCAAAGCCACCCTCTGTGCCAGGCTTTGCCAGGCCCCCCACCCCGCACCCCAGCTGCCTTGGGACAAGTCTGCAAAGACACTCTCCTCTCTTCCTGTGGCAGAGACCCTACCTGGCAGAGACCCTACCAGTGACTCCCCTTTACCTGCACTGATAAGTAGAGCTGGGAGATGAACCCACGCTTATATGAAAGCAAACTTAAGGTTTAAATTATGGGTCGATTGAGTGACACGTCAAACGTTCTAGTAAAACTGCTCTGACTGTGTGGAGGGAAGGTTCATGATGTTGCGGCTTCCCTCATGGCAGGACCTAGATGCCGGCTGCGAGGGGGGACAGGGCCCCCATCAGCTGCCTGCCTGTGTTGACATTCCAGAGCTGATGCTGCGTCAGGAACACGCTCCGTGTTTGTCCTGCAGCCTCACCACCCTCGCTCTCTAGGCCGTGGATTCCTAGAGGACGCCGACTCAGGCTGGAGAAGCATCGCCTTGGGGTAGCCTGGCCTACCTCAGTTTGGGGCCTCGAAGCCTGCTGTGGGGACAGGGCCCTGGTTCCCGGGGCGGCTTCCTCCCCGTCCTCAGCGCACACTTTGGGCTGTGTGCTCCATGCCAGGTGCTCCAGGCTGGCACATGACCTAGCTGGGGTGCACAGGGCTCTCCATTACAGGACCCCCAGTCTGGAGCCAGAAGGTTCCACCCAGCGCCGTTTGCCTGATCCTCAGACTTTGTCTGAGCTTTTTGAAAGCTTGCCGAGACTCTCAAGGTTGTAGGAGAAATCTGCCAGCAGTAAGGAGGGGTCCTGACAAGCCCTTAACTGCTGCTCTAACACCCCCAGTTACAGAAAGCCTCGAGCCAGGGACCCAGAGAAGCGGGGGGCATACTCACAGCCACCAGCCCATTGTGTCCTGCAGGGAGACAGGGAGAGGGCACCGGTCAGTAGGCAGCATGCAAGTCCTTGAGGAGCACAGCCACCCCACACCCCGACCCCAAGCCACGGAGGCCCTGGAGAGGCAGCAGGGACTTAGGGGAAGACTCCCTCAAGTCCCCTGCCGACACCTGGATGTTGGGAGAGCAGCTGGTCTGTTGGCGGTCAGAAAACTCCAGGGCCAGGGCGGCACTGGCTTGGGGAAGTCTTGGCTGGTGGCACCGTGGTGGAGTGAGGTGCTGGGAGGACCCCCGGCCAGTGGACGAGTCCTGTCCCACTCTGCCTGGCCTTCCAGGCTTCTGTCAGTGGCACGGGAGGGTGCTGTTGCAGGGAGGATGGGGGTACGGGGTGGGGGTCCCGGCCTGCGGTCGCCAGCGCCCTGTCTGGCTTGGAGCTTCCAGCTTCGGACGAGCCTGGTCACGTGCACAGTCACCGCCTCTGTGGTTCGTGATGCCCACGAGCTGGCCACGGCAGTGCCCCAGGTGGCACTATTCACATGGCTTTGTCTTCGTCAAAGCCCAGTGGAAAGGTCTGGCTGACAAGGCAGGCCGTGCAGGGCCCCCGCGTGCTGGGTGCGTGTCGGAGATGCCCGCTACAGGGCGCATTTATTTCTTGCACATATTCTTTCCTTCCAAAAATCTTAAGAGGACAGGCCCAGCATGAGCAACCTGGGGCTTGCTGGGGACCCCGTGTTCCAAGCCCGGCCCCGTCCTCAGTGCTACAGGCGCCAGGGCTGCTCCAATTTGGGAGCTGGGGAGCGCCCGCCCAACTCCTGCAGAGTGCACCCCCACTCAGGGTCTGCTCAGCAGGCTGAGGTGGGGGACCTGGAGTGGGGTTTCTAGGAGCGTGGGGGCCCCTCTCTCCTCACTCCAAGGGGAAGGCGTGGCTGCTGGTGGGGGACCCTGCTGAACAAACAGCCTGGCTGATTTCGGGGAGGGCGCTGGCCTCTCCTGAGCTCCTGGGCACGGGCACCCCTTGCTGAGACAAGGTCACTCTGAGTCTCCAAGGCACCCGCAGATGGCCGTTCTCTGAGGCTAACTCCAGCCCCAGTGGGCGCACATGAAATGCTTGGCCCTTCCCCTGACGGCTCCCTACAGGAGCGCCGCGGCGACCCGCGCTACTGATCTCTTCACGGCTGAGCTGATTTTGTTTTACATTTTCCACCCAGAGACGCCCAGAATTTTAGAGGTCATTGAGCCAACTTCTCATCCATTAAAGGAATCTCCAAAATGGAGTTTTTCAAACCTCTTTGATCATGAGCCACAGGAAGCAAATCCACATTTTACACCGTGACCTGGCATCCGCCCCACAGAAACAGGTTTCCTGAACCAGTGTGAAATCTCATCATGTGATAAGCAGATGATGAGCTCCTTGGAATTTTAAAATGCTGGCTGGCAGGCTATTTTTGTGTACTTTTGAAAATTTTCCTAAGAAAGTCCTAAAAATAGGCTGGATGGGACTCGTGGATTGCAACCTGTGGTTTGAAGAAGTCTGCGCTCAAATACAGACAACAGATGAAGAGGCAGAGACCCCTGCTCCAGCGGGGGCCCCCCCAGTCCTTTCAGTCACTTTGGCCTCAAGCTGCTTCGTGTGCAAATCAGCAAGGCTGCCGAGCCCTTGCAGAGCGGAGGGGAAATAACCAAGGAAGCCGGAAAGCACCAGCCAGATTCGGGGAGACTTGCAATCCATGGGAGCACTTTGTCTTTTAGTTAGCACCGGTCATAAATCTTGGAAAGCTAATGAAGGCTTCCAGGCAATCGCATGGACACCTACAACACACAAACGGACCTCAAGCGCTAACGGTCAAGGGTCTAACCGGCCAGGACCCTTCCGCTTCCTCTGCCCCCAGCCTGACTGAGGCTCCCCTTGGCTCCTCTGAACCGGCAAGCCCCATCGGGAGCTGCAGGCAGCAGTGCTGTGGGGCCGTGGACAGGAGCTGCTCTGGACTGGCCTTTTCTCTGTGGGCTGCAGCTGCCCGCAGGGTCCACCCAGAGTGCTGGTTCCAAGCGCTGACTTCCGTTCTGGAGTCGCCCTGCTGGTCACCTTAGGCACAGACTAAAGACAAACTCAGGGCCACCTTCGGGGTGGCTCCCAGCTGCGGTGTGACCTGCCATACTCTAAGTGAAAAGAGGAGCTGTCCCTCTGGAACTAGCCTCACTTACCGGTTGCAGTCACCGTTGGCTACTAAGTTGGGTGAAAACCACAGAAACTCAGTAAGAATCAACGGGTGCCCTGGAATTTAGGCTATTGATGGTGTATTTGTCAATGTGTGCTACGCGCTTAATTTCAGCATTTTTAATAAACGGAAGGATGTCCACGTGCACACGCTTTTCCCTGGAGAGGTGCCGTTAACCATTTATGGACATGCGACTGCTCCTCCTAAGAGCGACGATGAAGAAATGCCCGTGCAGGGCGGAAGCAGCTTCCAAGCTGTGCGATGAGCACGTTCCTCTCCCTGGCCCGTCACTCTCTGCCTGAACTCAGAGGGAAAGGATGCCAGAGCTGAAGTTGGGGTTCTTGGGGAATGATGGGGCCCTGAGGAAGGCAGGGGCCAGGCCCAGAGCCTCAGCTCAGCCCCCAATGGGCTCGGGCACTCTGAAGCTGGGCCCACAAAGCACATCAGGATCCCTACTGCAGACCCCTGGGGGGCCAGGCAAGAGGGGTCATCCACTGCAGACACTTGTGGGATCACTGGCACTGACTTGTGTTCTCTGACTCCCCATTATGAAATGATTCAGATCCTCTGGAGATGGGTGATCTCAGTGGTGCGGTGCGATGGCGGCCAGATCTCAGGGCAGTGAGGGGGCTGGGCTTCGGCAGCGTCTTTCTGACCTTACCTACCCTGTGTTCTCCAACAACATAGCAGCAGCTAGCTCAGTTTTGCAGGGAAGCTCCTGAGCTTACCTGGACCAACCTGGTCACTCCAGATGAGAAGACCCCCTGCTCAAAGAGGGCAAGCATCTGCCTCAGGCCACACAGCGAGTTGAGGGAACGCCCAGCCCCGGAACCCCGGAAACAGCTGGCAGACCTAGGGGCTCTCCAGCACAGCCCGGCTCTCGCTCCAGCACGCGCGGGCTGTGGCTGACCTGTGCCCGCTCAGTGCGGCTCAGCTCCTTTACCTGCTCCTATCACCACCGCGTCGTATTCCGGCTTCACATGCCTCCTGGTTCCCGAGTGACAGCTCCTCCAGGCAGGGCAGCGGGAGGCGGCCAAGGCCCTGCTGAGCCCTCGGCCGCTTGCAGCCATTTCTTCCCAGTGCCAGGCCAGGGATTTCCTCGCAATCAGCATTCTGTGCCGTCCCAGGCAGGAGGAGGGGCGGAGGGAGGCAGGGAGAGGAGGGGCTGAGCCTGCTGCCCTGCGTACTTGGCCCAGGGCCAGGGCTACAGAGGACAGAGAGCAGCTGGAGGCAGAGTCCACGCGGGGCACAGGGAGGGCACTTTCCCCATGGCCGGCAGGCCTCAGGAGAGCAAGCCCTGGGCTGGTGATTCTCTAGGGCCTTCCACGGTGGCATGGTGCTGGCCGGTCGGCACCCTGACGTGTACACCCCCACTTTAGAGACGGAGCACAGAGGCTGTGAGAAGGGGGTTATGGCTGAGAGTTCCGGAAGATGCAAGAGGAGGCTCGGCCCCCTCCTGTGTTAAAGAGCCAAAGTTGCCTTGTGTCAGGGTGGAAGTGGCAAGCCGGAGAGGGTCGGTCAGACTCTGTTCTGGCTCCCACCCCTGGCAGGATGGTGGGTGCTCTCTCCACAGCAGGAGCCCCCTGGCCCCCAGCTTGTTGGCAGCTTAGTATGGCCTCACCCAGGGCATCAGCAGAACTGCCGGGAGGGCCTGGAGCCCTGGGGGTGGAAGTTTTCTCCCAAATCCTTACATGCCACCCACTTAATAGGCTACAACAGAAGCTGGAGGGGGTTGGGGGCAAAGTTCTCTGCCTGCAACTTTTGGGGTTCACCTTTTCCTTTTGAAGACCTGGACAGTTGTCTTCTTTTGGCTCCTTTCCCATTTCCCAAGCATTTTCAAGATTCAAGATGGCAGCTGTAACCATCTTCTGCTAACACCTTTCTGCGCTTTGGCCTGTCTGGAGTGGGGAACCCTGTGCTCTTGGGCCACTAGTTAGCAGACGCTTCCAGTGTAGGGAACAAAAGCCAGGAGCTGGGGTGCCTGTGTGGCTGGGACATGCCCAGGGAAGCAGCTGTGAGAGGGCACCTTGACCACCTTGCGCCCCGGCAGGTGTACGCCCAGTGGAGACTGCTGACCTCCAGTCACTGCTGAAGTCTGATTCAAGAGGCCCACGTGGGTGTTACTTATAATTGAGATCACACAACAAAGCCGTGAGAGCTGAGAGGAAGTAGCGAGTGACAGCGTGGGTGTCCTCACTGAACAGCACTGGGCTTCTGGGGGCAGTTTTCCCCCTTTGTGCTCCATCTTTCATTCTGGAATCCGACTTCTGCCCTGTGATAGTGAGGAGGAACCCAGACTGTCACCTCTTGACAGCCCCACTGCCTGATGACACTGGCCGCAGCCGCTGCAGCATGAGTTTGGCCCCCATCTGACCCGGAGGTGACCCACATGGCGTGGCAGACCTCTCCTGACACGCCCGCTGCTCCCCTCAGCAGTGTGCTTTGTCAATGTGCCTGTTCTGCTCCCCACTCTGTCTCAGGTTAACTTTCTCGCCCCCTACTCCATACCTCTGGCCTGTACCCCAGTCCTTATATGCATAAATAAATCTTTCTTAAAAAAAGACCGGAGACCCAGGGGCCCTCTGGATGCCTGCTCTGACCCCCCACAGCAGACGCACCCCATCCGTGCGCTATGGCCGCTCGCAGGCGTGTCTATTCTGGGGTGGGCGCTCTAGGGTGGGGAGGCAGGGCCAGGGCTCAGGGAGCCACGGGGAAGCTTCTGAGACCTTGCCTTGGAGCTGGGGGCCCACTGGGTCCAGTGGCCCTCGGGGGCTTGGTCAGGAGCCGTGGGAGGCCAGGACTCCGCAGGGGCTGACCGCAGCAGGAAGGCCCAGGGCCCAGGTGTGTCTGGCTGGGTGGTAGCGAGCAGCACAGCCGCCCCCAGTGAGCCTCGCCAGGTGTCTGAGGCCCTCACCCCCGCCCCGCGAGGTGGGTGCTTTGCTCAGCAACGGAACTGGTTTGGAGCTGAGAAAATGTACTCAGAGCCACAGGAGGAATCCAAATGCAGGCAATAGCGCAAGTTTAATGTGGGGAGGGAAAAGCCTTGAGGGAGCTCGTGTTCCGCTTGGAGCACAGCAGGCAGGCCCCGGGGACTTCCTCCTCCCGACTGGGGGGCAATAGCTGCAGCTCTGAAAGGGGGCTGAGCCCACAGTACACCGAGGGAGGCCCTGACCTCCCTGTCCTCCGGAGGGCAGGACTGAGGCTCGCTGCCAGCGCAGAGGCTAGCAGGTGGAGCTGCAGGCCCGTTCCGGCCGCAAGTGGCCGGCAGGGCTGGGGGCGGCGCTGGCTGTGGGGACGCTGGCAGGCAGGGTGGTTCTGGAGAACCAGGGGCACAGACTGCCTAAGTCAAGGGCACACGCGAGGCCTCCCACAGGCGCTGGGCCAGCTCCCCCGCCTGCTGCACGAGCACGTCCGTGGGGACCACTGACAGGTGGACGGCCAGCAGCTCGTGGCACTTCACGGTCTCGGTCGGGTGGCTCTTGCTGTAGTGGCGCAGGAGCTTCCTGGGGGAACAAGGGACAGGACTCAGAGTCACGGCCTTCTCTGGTCACCTCACGAGGCACTGGCACCCCAACAGTGAGGGCTTGTCCCCCTGGCCTGACCTCACCGGACTCAGTCCTCGGCCGCCACGGCCCTGCCCGAGGGCTCTCACCCGGGGGCGGGGGCTAAGGGCGGTGGCGGTGCAGCAGGCGGCTCTCCCCGGGCTCTGCAGACACCTGCCTGCAAAGCGGACAGGAGCCCGGCACCTGCCAAGCGGAAGAGCAGCCCCAGGTGCTCCCCCGCGTGGGCACAGGGGGAGCTGTGAGGAGCTCTGACAGAGGGTGTTTATCTCTGGGCTGCATTTCTGAGGGGAGCTGGCACTTCAGACCCTGCATCCACACCCACGGCTCCCGACAGCCTTCTACCCAGCGTCACCTGTAGTAGTCCCCGCCCAGGATGCCGACCGGAACCGAGTCATCGGAGAGGACAGGCACCTCGATGATCTGGAGCTTATGCCCCTAAGGAAGGAGATGGGTGGTGACAGAGTGGGGGTGGGGGGAGGTGGCGGGTGTGGGTGGGCAGAACCTGAGTGCAGGCACTGGTTCAAGACCCGGCTCAGGTGAGATGGGAAGAACGCATCGTCCTACTTCAGTCAGCGCCCAGTGACGCCAGAGGTGCACACACAGTGCCGGGCGCCGTGCTCGGAGCTGGGCACGAGCCCAGGCCAGGCGCCACCTCCCACACCAGCGGTAGCTTTGGGCCGTGCCCAGGCCAGGCGCCACCTCCCACACCAGCGGTAGCTTTGGGCCGTGCCCAGGCCAGGCGCCACCTCCCACACCAGCGGTAGCTTTGGGCCGTGCCCAGGCCAGGCGCCACCTCCCACACCAGCGGTAGCTTTGGGCCGTGCCCAGGCCAGGCGCCACCTCCCACACCAGCGGTAGCTTTGGGCTCTGCTTTTTCTGCCTCCGCAAGGGGATGACATGCACCCCGCTTCCTAAGGGCAGCTGTGGGTGCTGGGGAGGCACGAGGGGACAGGTGATGTGGGCCCCGGGCACAGGCCCACCTGCTCACGCGTTATCTGGGCACCACCCTGACCGGGGCCAGAGTTTTTCAAACAGCTGAGTGCAGGGGGTCAGAGCCTGTGTGACAACAGGACCTCGGAGTTCTGGGTCCCCACAGGCTGGGCTTTACTGTCAGCCCCGCCAGGCTGGGAGGGGTGCAGAGACAGAGTGGACAGCTGAGCAGAGAGAAGAGGGGGAGCAACAGAAGGGCGTGCGGACAGGACAGCTGGGGCCAGCCGTACGCACCTGCTCGTTCTCGAACCACAGGAAGTAGGAGCAGTAGAAGTCCCCGTCTCGGAAGAGCAGTGAGGTGTAGCCCTTCTGCAGATACCTGCGCGCCAGCCGGATCAGAGACCAGACCTAGGGCAGGGCGTACAGCAATCAGAAGGCGGCCAGGCCGCCCTCGCCCCAGGGCAGGGCCACAGCCCAGGTTCTCGCCTCTGGGCGTCGGGGAAGGCGCTCCTTGAAGCCAGTCGTCCCCACCCCACCTCCTTCCCCAGCACCAGGCAGACTCCACTCAGTGTAGGAGCTCAATGCACATCCTTCTCGGAAGCATGGACGGACAGACTAGTCTCTAGGTGATGATAACAGACACACAGCACTTTATATACCTTAGTATACGCACAAGACATAAAGCAGTGAGCTGGTCACCTTGGCCCGAAAATAGCCAGGGACGCTGTCAATCAACCCTCTAGGAGATGAGGGTGTGGTCACTGGAGCCCCCCCTGCTGCCGACGGTCACCAACAGACCAGGAGGGCCCAGCTGAGGCAGACCCACTGACCAGAAAGGTGCTGGAGAGGGTGTGGGCGTGCCCAGAGCCCGGAGCCAGCACACCTCTGCTGGGGGGTGGGGGGTGGGCATCCACACTAGGGGTCGCCGCAGGTCTCATGGGAACACAAGGGCTGAGACCCCCTCCCTCGTGTTCTCTTGCCTAATTCAGGGACTCCCTATGAACCGCTTGGGGGGAAGCCTGGCTCCCGGGCTCCCGGGGGGCAGGGGTCCATGCACACTCGCACCAAGAAGCGCTGGAAGCCTCATGTGACTCCACCTGACCAGTGTAATGTTTACTTAAATCTGCAAACAAAATACATGGACTTGCGGTGTTTTTCAGGAGCACAATTTGACAACATGTTATCAATAACCTTAAAAACTTCCCTCCCACCTGACTTAGTAATTCCATTTCTGGGAATCCATATTGTGAAAATAATCAGAGATAGAGACAAAGATGTATGCACAAAGGTGTGTGCTGTGGAATTATTTATAACAGCAAATGCCTAAAAACAATCTAAATACTCAGCACTGGGAAATGGTGAAGTAAATTATGTTACGTTCACATGATGGAGTGCTGTGAGCCGTTAAAAATCACGCTGATGAAGAATTAATGACACGAGGAGATGCATTAGATATAAAGGGAAGCGAATGTGGCGAGCGGATACAGAGTGATCTCAACCTCACACAGCTGCACAGAGAAACAAACGAGAAGACCCGTGTGCCCAGATGATCCCACCGCGGTGGCAAAGGGGGATGAAGACGAAGAGGCGGACGGAGCCAGCGAGGTCTGAGACTGGCGCCAGGTGCTGCCTATTGCACAGGCGGAGCGCTACTCACTCTGGGGCATCACTATGCTCCTGCACAGACGTGTGACTACTGCTAGCCCCCACTGCAGATGAGGAGACAAGCTAGACGAGGGGCACCCCGAACGCACAGCTGTGCGAGGCAGGGCTGTCTCCAACGGGCTCTGCCACTGGCTTACTTCAGCCGTCCTGACAGACTTACACAAAATTCACACACACGCACACACACGCACACACGTATACTATACTATAGTATATACTGATACAGTATATGTATTATTTATGTGTATATATGTTTTATGTATATACTATAGTATATGCTTTATTAATACAGTAACACGTTCAGTCTCATGTGTACATTAGACACTATGCTATGTATATCCTATATATATTATAATCTATACCTATCATATATGCTGGCTACAAATACACCTCTACACCCGCATGTGAGTTAAGAGTCAGTTAACAAGAACAGAAGAACTCCCAGAGAATGTTTTCTTGGTAGAAAACATCTACTTCTAAATTCTGATACCCAAATTGGTTAAACTTGAGTTTCTTCTTTCCATTGCTGTTAATTCAACACATGCCAATACGTATTTAGGCCAGGCACAGCGTTAGGCCTAGGCATGGTGTTAGGCCAGGCACGGTGTTAGGCCCAGGCACGGTGTTTGGCAAGGCGTGTTGTTAGGCCCAGCACGGCATCAGGCCAGGCACGGTGTTAGGCCCAGGCACGGTGTTTGGCAAGGCGTGTTGTTAGGCCCAGCACGGCATCAGGCCAGGCACGGTGTTAGGCCCAGGCACGGAGTTAGGCTCAGGCACGGTGTCAGGCTAAAGCACGGTGTTAGGCCAGGCATGGTTTTAGGCCCAGCAGAGGTTACCTTGCTTTTGACGAAGTTGGCCAGGGGCCCCTTGCCCAGCTCAGAGGAGGTCCTTTCACTGCTGCTGAGGGAAGGGGCCACCATCTGGCCGCTCGTGCGGTCCACGTAGATGAAGTGCACCAAGCCAGGGAAGTCTTCGAGGTAGGTGAGGGCTGGAGTCAAGGTGAAGGGACAGCCAGGAACCAGGGCGAGACTAGTCTGTCCTCCCCCTGGCGCCCAGCTCTGCCCCGCAGGGGAGTCGGAGGCTTGGCCTGCCACGCCTGCCCCCGCCCAGCCTTCTGTTACAACCAGCACCCTAGGACCCCTTTTCTCTGATCTTTTACCTCTGACACCCCCAATCCATAGAAATTCACAGATGTAAGTACATGGCTGTGTGACACATTTAACCAGCGGGAGCTTGGTAAGTCCACGTTCTATCATGCTCATGCGGGATGAGTTCAGCCCATTCAGGCGATGAGGCTGGTGTGAGCAGAGCTACGCGGTTAAGGGACTGCCGAGCCCGGCACCCGTGCACCTCGCCGTGATGGCTCATCTCTACCTCACCAAGCGGGCCCCACGGAAGGCTCCCATTTGAGATGGGGACACCACAGAGGGGTGGTGGCTGGTGGCTCTGACATCTCTCTAACCTGTACACTGAAGATGACCCCGAGCTCTGGGAGATATTAATAAAGGAACAGCTATTCATGTAAAGTTCTGGGGCAGGGCGGGGTTGGGTAACATTAATGGTCCGTAACAGCGGTGTCAATTAAGCCTCAGACATGGCTTTTAACAGGATAAGCCTGCACCTCCCCTTGGGCGCTGGATGGCATATCCCTAAACCAGCTCTAAGGCTTCACAGGTGGCCGTGGGCACCGCGTTCTAAAAACGCGGCCTGCAGCACGCCTACAGACAAGCCACCGGGACCCGACTTTCCTTGAGCGCAAAGGAGCTGCGTGAGACCAGCAGGCTCAGGGGCCCAGGCTTCAGGATATGACACCATGGTGATGTTCCTCCTACTCTTCACCAGCAGAAAGTCCTTCCAGTCCCTCAGCTTCTCTCTGCCAAGGAAGGAGGGGTGCGGTGAGGTGTGCCCCGGACCGGCCCTCTGGGGACGGGGGACCAGGGCTGCACTTACTGCATGAGCGTCTGGACCTGGTCCTGCAGGGGCTGCGGCAGCTGGGGGCCGCCCTGGCCTGGAGCTGTGAGCAGGAAGCTGAGGCGGTAGATGGAGCAGAGCTGCCGCTTCACCTTCCTGCACGCCTGGAGCAGCCTGGGCACCCAGAGGTGACAGTGTCATGGCCACCGCGGGAAGGGCCCGGGACAGGGCGTCTTCCTGCCCTCAGAGGGCTGTCAGCACTCGGCTGCCCTTGTCAAGATGGGAAGGGCTCCCCAGGTCCCCAACCCCACGTTACACATACTGGGGTGAAACCTTGCCAAGGACTCTGCTGCAACCTCCCATTTATTTATTATGAGGGGGAGCGACTTCTCGAGGTCACAGGGAGTCAGTGGCGAGGCTGGGCTGGAATTCAGGTCCTTCTCTTCCCATTCTCTCTCCGGTGCCCCGCGGGCTGGGCTGGGCTGGGCTCTCCCTGACCCCCTCTGAGCTCATCAGCACCTTCCATAGCATTTTCTCCCTCTTAGCCTGGAGGAAACTTGCTCTCTTTGGGCAACAGAACCCCTGTCCCAGACACACCCCCTTGTCCTCAGAGCGCACCACTTACTCCCAGGAAGATCCTGGTTCACTTCTGGAGAGGGCCTTGGTCTTGAACTCCAGCCAGGCGCTCTAAGAGGACAAGGGACAGGTGGGCTCCCGGCAGTGCTCCACAGTCAGGCCCCGGAGACTGTCAGACACTGGGTCTGCGAGGGTGCTCCGGCTGCGGGGTCCAGCCCTTAGGCTCAGCACGTATCGCCTGCGTGCAGCCAGAGCTGGACTCCGGCGGGGCCCGCTCTCCGCTGCCGCCCACTCACTCAGCAGGCACAGGGAAAGAGCAATTTCTGCTGTTACGGACAGAGCGCGCCGCCCGCCAGGCGCAGACGGGGAGGCCAGGGCTACTGTGACCGTGAGCCTCTCGCGGGCTGTGGGGGACACACGGGCGGGCCCTGGGTGTGAGGAGGGCCCAGCGGAGCTCCCCAAGGAGGACACCTGCACTCTCAGTGGACTCGTCACAAGGCTTCGAGAACAGCGTTTGTCTGGGTCTGGGGTTCAGCCGCTTGCTCTGCCCCCTCCAGCGATTTTCAGGCCAACACACGCGCCAGCCACCACTAATCTCAGCTCCTCAAACAGCCCTGAACCCTGCCGGTGGCTTAATCTCAGGTGACACAACCCACCCAAGGGTCTTCCAGGTGCCCGACTGTCTCCGCCGCCTGCACTGTCTGTCGCCCCTCCCAGCCCCTCCAAGTCAGGCTCTGCCTCACCAGCTGAGTCGTCTTGGCACAGTCAAGAGCTAAGCCTAGTTTCCTGCTCTATAAAGTGGGAACTATAATTCGTGCTCTGCCAAGTTCACCTACAAATGCTCTGAAATGTCAAGTGCTCCATGGGCAGCTGCTGTCATTCCAAAATGGGGGCACGGAATCACAACCCTGGCAGAGTAGGGCTGCGCCCCCGAGCCCTGACTCCTCTCTGGGGGCCCCTGGGACCCAGGTCTCACCTGAATCTCCCGCCCATTTCGATTCTTGACAAACTTGTCCATCCTCTGACGCAGGTCGCCCACGAGTGGGTGGGACCGCAGGGAGCTCCCGGCCTCCTGCCCCTCCTTGAGCTTCTTCTCCAGGAGGGAAAACCCGTCCAGCAGCTGGTACAGCATCAGGGCCAGGGGCGTGCTGGGGCTCTAAGGGGAGAAGGGCGGGGCAGAGTGGAGGTGGCCCTGTGGGGAAGGCACCCGGTGCCCCGGCCCACCTACCTTGGTCAGGAGCACCATGTTGATGCCTGGCCACAAGGGCCAGCAGTACAAGGTGTGGGGCACCAGAGGGCAGTAGCTGTCCTTCACAGTGGCATCCAGGAAGATCCTCCGGGGGCTGGAAGGTGCTGGGGCACAAGGCATCAGTGTCTGCAGGGAGTCCTCGGCGACCTGGGGGGAAGGAGCTGGCCGTGGGAGGGGGCTGGAGAGGAGCCTCTGACCGCCTCCCTGCGCTGGATCCACCCAGGGGCACCCATCACCATGCTCCCTGTGAGCCATGGGAGATAAACTCTTTCAGCGCCAGGAGACCCCAGGTGCTGACGCCCACACTGTGGAGGCTGCCCTGGCGGTGCTGCCACTGGGGTCTCGCTCAGCGGCTGCTCCGCTTTCCTGCCTGCAGGCCGTGGGCAGAGGCGGTGGGTGGTGAAAACGCTGAAAAAGGCAGGAGACACAGGCAGCAAGGGCGGGCGCCCTCCCTCGGTCCCGGAGCAGAAGGGCCTCCTGAGGGCCACCTCCGGGGGATGCCGAGGTGTGACGTGACCAGCACAGCGGACTCGGCCTCACACACAGGGGCTGCGACAGGGGCAGAGGGCGCGGGAATTCCCGGGAGCTGCGGGTACCAAGACCCCAGGAATGTGTCTGTGAGGAGTCGCTCGGGGCCTAAGATAATGGGGGAAAGCAACAAGGCCAGAGAGAGGTGTAGCTGTTCTGGGGGTCTGGGGAAATAAAGCACAGCAACGCAAATCAGCCTCCACCGAGAGCACTCTTGGAGAGAGCTCAGTGCATGGAAATGCTTGGCAGAGCAGCACGATGGAGGACGTCAGCATTCAAATTTGGGAAACTGAAAATAACACGCACGCAAATAAGCGTACAAAATCAAAGGGAAGACTAGAGGAAAGACTCAAGCATGTCACAGTTACCCTCTGGGGGTGGGGCGGAAAGCACATTTCCCTTTTCCATACTTACCTAATTTTTCTACAAGGAACATATTTACTTTCTCATTTAACCACTGGGACCGCTCAGGAGTTGAGGCCCAGCGCCTGGGAGGGTGGGGGTGGGGGTGGGGAAGGCACCCTTTGCTGACTGCCCCCCCCCCCTCTGAACTGAGCGCTGTTCCCTGCCCCAGCCAGGCTGGGCTGGGGCTGGCGAGGTACGGAGGAGAAACCTGTAGCCCAATGTTCACGGCAACATCTCCATCAGCTTGTACCCTGGCAGAACCCCTGTTCCCCAGAAGAAACTCACTTGGATGTGGGGAGCATCAGTGGGTGGGGTGCCCTCTTCTAGCCAGACGATGCTACCTGCAGACATTCGGAAGTAAGTAACATCAATAATGGGGAGATGTGACGAACTAGTATTTTGTCTGTACGTCTCAAGGGGTGAGCAGAGATGGCCCAGCCCAGCAGGTGACCGCACCTAGCAGGACCAGGCGCGCAGTGAGGCCTGCACCAGCACGCCCCTTCTCATCGCAAGTCTGGCTGGACACGCAGGGCAAGCTGCTGCCAGGCTAACGCAACAAAGGTCTGCAGAAGGGAACCCCCCGAGCTGGCAAGCCCTGCTAGTCCTTCGGGCCTGACTGCAGGGGGGCCTCTCCACTGGGAGCCGGTATACACCAGCTCCCCGTCATTCAGTCAATCAGCAAACTTTACTGAGCGCCTGCTACACGCTGGAAATTGAGCGCGATTGCCTCTCCTGGCACAACTCACAAAATCCTACTGAAGCCAAATTTCCATATTTGAAATATTCTGTGTCTGTCCTGACAGTGTTTCCTCATATTTCAACACAAATAACTGTCACTTGGGGGATGTCTGTTTCTGTGTTTCAACCACCTGATTTACAAATGGATGAAAGCAACTCAAGCCATTTGTAAGCTATGAGCTGCACAAACTGAGGAATGGTGTTATTTACAGCTCGGAGGCATGAAAAGCCAATCACCGAGAGAAAGGGACGAGGAGGAGACCGATGGATGGCGGAAGGAGTGGCAAGGAGACAGAGACGAGCGTCAGCGGGATCCCACAGTGGAGCGACTCGGTGTGTGCGGGCTTGGGGACCGCTGTGCCCCGCCCGAGACGCGCAGTGCACGTGAACCTAGACGTGCTGCGTGATCTCTGGGAGCGGCCACCTCGCAGTCCACTAAAGGACGCAAACTGAGACTATCGAACCCAGTGGCTTCCACCTGTGGCTGCACATGGACCTTCGAAAACCCCGGCGTCCCGGCCACAGCCCAGACCGGGCAAGGCCGCACTGACAGCACAGGCCGGCTGCAGGGTCTCAGCGGTCCCGGCGAGAGCCCCTGCGCAGCCAGCAAAGCCACTGCTCTCCCTTACACCCCTGCTTTTGTGGTTCCCACTTGGGACCACCAGGGAAGTTTCTAAAGCGGTCGCACCTGGGCCCCACCTGCGGATACTGATTGCTGGGCCTGGTGGGTACCATCCAGGCTTAAGCATGTCGCCGGGACTGAGAACCTGGATTTCTAAGCCAATTACAGTAAACACCTTTCAAAACTCAGTTCCTGAGAGGCCTCTCCTCCTGAGCCCAGGCTTCTTTCTTCCATCGGAGGAGCTGAGCCACGCTCTCCCCAAGGACTTCAGGGAGAAAAGTGGTGCCCTCCCAGGGATACAGCCGCCTGGGCTGGGGCTTCCGCTAACTAAGCAAGCTGCTTTTTCTTTTTGAACACTTTGTTTCTTTTTATTGCTTGCCTAAATGTTGGAAAAACAGGTAAAGCATGAAATATAGAGGCTGAAGACTTAGGTTTTAAATCGCTGTACTTGAATTCAAGTGATTATTACTTAATTTTAATTACCGATTAACTACGAAAAAGAGAAGGCAGTGAATACACACAGAAGTGATGAATTTTAAAGGGAAATCAACTTGTCGTGAGATGCTTTAGGAATCATCTGATTCTTAATCCAAGGATAGACAGAGGGAGAGTGGGAGACTGAATCTTATGCTATAGGAATTTGGGGTCTGTGCCTTACTAGGAGTGGGGGGTCCACTGAGCTCCGGAGAGGCGCCCCAACTGGCATGTGCCGCCTGTTCCCCCTCGGTCTCACCTGAACAGCCCCCTGGGGAAGTAGCGGGCGTGAAGTACTCCTCAGGGAGGGAGACGCTGTCTGTGTCCTGGGAGGAGGGGGAGGGCTCGATGCCGCTGTCCCAGCAGGCCCTGCCTCTGCCCTCGGCGCCAGCACACCTGCTCCCTGCAGAGCTCCTGCCGGTCGGGGCCCTGGAACAGGCGCTCCAGGCCTGCTGCACGGGGATGTTCCGGCTGCTCCGGAGCCTGGGCGAGGAAACCTGCAACAGAGCGGGTCAGAGCGCGTCTGGCAGCTCCCACTGGCCTCCACCTCCACCAGAGGGCAGAGGGCCAGGCTGCCTGCCCCACAGCACAGCCAGGAGCGCCTCCTCGTTTCCTGGGATGTTCCCATTATAGGTGGTCCAGACTTTCTCCAGAGCCAATGTAGTTCCCGAAGAGTCCAACACCAGCTTCCATGCCAGCCACAGTGGCGGCCAGTCCTGAGTGTTCACGCACCTAGGCAGTGCTGGGATTTCCAGGTAAACTGTCTCTTTTATTCCTCATCACAGCCCTGAGAGGTGCTGCTTTGGGGGTCCGTTGCACAGACAAGGAATTAGAGACTAGGAGGTATTTGCCAGGCTCACATAACTAAAAGGCGAAAGCTGTGGCTGATTAAAAAAAATCTGTACTGTACTAAACACAGGCATTCTAGAATCCCCTTACACCTGAAAGCAGCAGGAAGCAAATCTGTCCAGGTCTGTCACCAGGAAACCACGCTGCACCAAGCAGCCCGCCCATTACCCTCTATCGGACGGCCGCTGCCCCCCGGAGCCCAGACCTGTGTGTCTTCGTCGTCCGGCACGGTCTTGCTGGGGTAGAGGTCCTGCACCAGGAGCACAAGGGTGAGAAGGTCAGCTGGGCGCAGGGCACTGGCGCTGTGGCTGTGGATGGGAGAGAGTGTCCATCAGCCTGCAGGTGGCGGAGACGAGGACCGGGCCTCTCCTGGCTGCGCTGTGGGGCAGGCTACCTGGCCCTCTGCCCTCTGGGGTGCAGAGCGTGGTCCCTGCTCTCAAGGAGAGCCAACCAACTTCATTTTGGTCCCCCAGGAAACAATGTAATGCTTTTTTGTCACGCTTTTCTTGACTCAGTTCTCTCTGCAGAAGGTTAAGGGATACATAAAATTAACTGACTCTTTCAATTTTTAAAATAAAATTTGGTTGTGCTAGAAAAAGAAATTGTGGATGGGGAAACCACCAGGGACCAGTAACAGCATATCAAGAAGTTCTAAATTCAGACTCTGTTGTGTTCCAGGAAGAAATAATTCAGAGAAGGGAGTGAGAGGGAAAAATCTGAGGTTTCATGGAAGAGATGGGCCTCAAAGGTTTGCTGGCTGGGGAGGTGAAGGGAATGAGAGTGGGTGACAGCGGGGCCCAGGTGGTCTCGGCTCACCTGGAGTAGAAGGCCAGCAGCTTGGAGTGCACGAGCAGGAAGGCGTGCAGGGCCTCCTCGCCCGCCCGCCTAGGGCTGGAGTTGACGGCCTGCACGACGCACCGCTCCAGCGCCTCGATGCACAGCTCACAGAGCTGGGGGTGAAGAAGTCGCTCCACAGCCTGGCCATGGTGGGCAGGAGAGGAAGGCTTGTTAGTGACCACCACTTGCTCTGGCTGATGAGCACAAAGTCCAAGCTGAACAAATTCTACACGCCTGATACTTGGGAACAGGGAGACCCAGCCTAGCACGGCCCTTGCCTTCCTGGGGTCTACAGCCTGGTCACTGTACAGTAGACCATGAGATAGAGATGCCATGGAACAGATAAAATCAGTGCTGAGTAGGAAATACATGGTACTGAGCTAGAACACAGAGCAGAGACCTACCTGGGTAGGGTAGTCAAGGGCCCTCCCTGATGGTACAATGGGTTAAAGCACAGCACTACCAGGCTGGCCACAGCCGCTTCAGCACGAGTTCCACCCTGGCCAAGGAGCTGACCCACATGGCACAGCAGACCTCTCCTGACCCGCCTGCTGCTCCCCTTATCAGTGTACTTCACCGATCTGCCTGTTCTGCTCCCCACTCTGTCTCTGTTAAACCCTCTCACTGCCCCTGCACCTCTGGCCTGTACCCCCGTTCTGTATGCATAAATAAATAAATCTTTAAAAAAATAAACTGATATCTGAAGAGCAAGAAAGCCTGCCAGAGAAAGAGGGAGGAGGAGCCTGCTGCCAGTTGAGGACAGAGCATATGCAAAGGCCCTGTGGTGGTGGAGCAGCGCTGTCCAGCTGAAATACAAAGTAAGCCTGTGCATAACATAAGATTTTCTACTAATCACATTAAAAAGTAAAAGTAAAATTGAATTTTGACAATTTATTTTACCCAATAGATATAAAACATGATTTTAACACAATACAAAAGCATTATTAGTGGAATAGTTGACATTCCTTTTTTGTACTAAATCAATAAAATCCAGTGTCCAGCATAGCACACTGACCAGAGCTAGACATAATACACTGCCAAAATGAGAAGCCCCAGGTGGCCAGTGCAGCAAGTGCGGACGAGAGGCATGAGGAAGCTGGGCTGGCAAGACAGCATTGGTACAGGGCTGGCGCCTGGATTTTATCTTGATTGTGTTAGATCACTTCCTACAAGAAGTCTTTCCTGTTGACCCAGAAAGAGTGACCACTGCATCCCTTGTGCCAACCTCGGACTCTGATTAGAAACCCAACATGACAGCACCCAGGAAGTTTAACTGTGTGTTTTAGTGGGCTGATTCCCCTCCACGGCAGTGCTGTCTACGGTCACCTCTGTATTTCTAGGGCCTGGCATACCTCTCAGCTCATAGTGGGTACTGAACATTTACTGACAGGGAATAAGTGGGGGTGTGAAAATTAATTCCTTCAGATCTATTTTCCAGTTCACTCATTCCCTTTTTAACTATGTCTCCAATACCATCTTACCCATCCCTTGAGTTTCTCATTTTAACTATTATGTATTTCTAAAATATCTAGATGGTGCCTTTTTCAAATATGCCTGGTCATGTCTCTTGTTATTGTGTGTGAGACTCTAGACTTTGTATCTTTAAATATTTCATAATTGTTTTGTATTTTATACCTAACAATGCCAATATATCTTTCTCCTTGGGATCTAGGTAGGTTGGTGACTGACTCCCCTGATCACTCATGGTAGCTTACTTTCTTGTGCACCTGAACTTAACTTGTGAGCTTGTATTTGTTTGCTCTTAATTCCTTCCCAGAACTGGAGCTCATGACCAGTATAACCACCAAGAAACTTGTTAGAAATGCAGTATCTTCAGTTCCAAATCTCTCTCCCCAAATGAATGAGAAACCGAGGGTGAAGCCCAGCCAGCTGCATCTACTCAGCCGTCCACTGGGTCCGACGCACACCCGAGTGTGAGAACATCAGACTGAGAGCTCATGTGTGCAGACACAGGGCGGCAGCCAGTGCTCCTGACCAGGGCCTCCCTGATGCCTCAGCTCCCTCGTGCTGCTGCTGGCCTGAGGCTCAGCTTCCTGCTGGTGTGGCGTCATCCCCTGCACTCTGGCAATCGAGCTCATACTGCATCCTGCTTATTTATCATGTTTTCCATTCTAGTTTCAGTTCAAGATGGTTTTTTAGAGGAATGGGTATAAACTTCAGAGATTTCCATAATTTACTGTGTGTCCAAAAACTGCATTAGACTGTTTTTTTCTCTGATCTATCTGTTTTATTGTAGGGAGGCCCGTCAGAATAGCCAATCTGCCTTGCAGCCAGAAAGCATAATTCTCTAAATGTACAAGCTTCCGAGTCTGTGTCCTCACTCATTAAGGTCAAAACATGACCTCAGAGCTGATGGTCTCTCTGACCTGGAACTTCTGTGGCCCTCAGGTGCCCGCACCCAGCAGTCACCTCCACAGCAAAACACTGCTCCTGCTCCCGCAGGCGGCTGTAGGTCCACAGCAGGCTCTGGAAGTGCTCCCACACCTGCACGCGCTGCTCCAAGTCTGAGGGCCGCAGCCTAGGTGGGAAGAGGAGGAGAGATCGTGACACAACTGGTCATCCCCCACACCCCAGATCACTGTCAGAACTGGGCAAGTTCACGCACACAGCCAGAGTACCCGGGGCCATGCCCCCGCTGTGCAGAGGAGAGGAGCGGGGTGGGCTTGGAACTAGGAGCCATATGCCAGAGCAAAGTGCTGCACGTCTCAATGTCCTACACACAGCTGCGACATGAAGCCAGCATGAGACCCAGGAAGACATCTTGAGTTTCTACAGCCTCACTCCTACAGGCCACTGTAAAGAGAAAATGCTGGTTTTTCTGAAATCAGGGTCACACAGGATTGCAGTCAGCTGGAACGGTGACAAGCGCCGCACCAGTAAATGCAGTCTGTGTCGCAGGCACACGCTATCTGCAGCATCTGCCACTGAAACTGCGCCTGGGCCAAAATGATTTGTAAAATGACAATTGTTAGCTCATTTGGTTAAGTGTCCTGGCTGTGTAAAATGACATTAGCTAATCTGATAACATGTCCTTGTGGGGTGCTTGCTCACCACTTTACAATTCAAAAGGTTCAGTTTCAAATCTCGCCATTCCCCAACCCATATTTGAGATCAAGGTTGTCCCCTCCAGGGACTTCTCTTTTCTGGGTCCACATGTCACTTAGCTCCTGCCCCGGGTTCTTCCCACCTCGGTGTAAGTGATCACACCATTCTCTTTCACTGGTTTCTTTGTGGGCCCAGAGAGGGGTTGCCGGCCTGACCCGCTCAGCAAACATTCACAGGTCGTATGTGTGCACAAGGGCATGCACCTTTTCTGAAGGGAGACTCTGAATCTTTGAGAAGACAGGCAGGACCAGCTCCGACTAAGCTGGTAAGGGCCCCATGAGCTACACTGGGAACTGGAAAGAGCACTCAACTGGGGGTGCAGAGCTCTGAATTCCAGGCTGGATGGCTCTGGGCAAGTTCTTTAAATTCTCTCTCCTTGCTTTTCTCATCTGTAAATCCAGGGGGTTAGATGAGAGCTCCGTTCCTCAGACTCAGGGGTCCAGCCAGGGCAGGGTATAGACGGACAGCTTCACAGGGGCTGGGTGCACACTGCCAGGCCTGGGGGGGGGGTGTCTTAGAAAGGGCACAGAAAGACTGTGCTGAGGACTCACTCTTTTCGGATGAGCTGGCTGTCCAATGTGACCAGCCCGAAGTGCACCTCGAACAGGAACTTGAGCACACACAGCTTCCGGCGCAGGTCTGCCTCGCTCTCCGTGTGGTCCCCATTGATGGCGATGAACAGGCACTCTCCGAACTGCGGGCATGGCAGCGCCCGTCAGGGGTCGCCTGCCCTGGTCCCTGGGGATGGCCTGGAAGTCTGGGGTCCCGGGGGTTGATAAGGTGCAGTTTCTGCCTTTTAAGGAGTCTAAAGAGCAACACAACAGAGAGGCCTGTGGACTGCCTGGAGCCCTGGGGCTGCACTCACCAGGTGAAGCACATACAGGTAGTTGTCGTTCTCTGTGGAGAAGCACGTGTATGTGTCTGAGAGCTTCTCCAGCATGGTCATGGAGGAGATGATGACCGGGGCCAGGAGGGTGCTGAGCTGGTCCTCCAGGGCGGGGAGCTGCTGGAGTAGACAGTAACACAGCTGAGCTATGACCGACACCAGGGACAAAGAAAGGACAAGTCCCTCCCACCAAGGGTCTGCATCATCTGACACTAGCATAGGAGGGTGGGAAAGGTCATTTAGCTAATTGTGCTGGTCAGACTATGAACCTAGAAAGAAATGGAAGGCATTAGGCTACATTTCCACAGTACACAGAATGGCTGGGGCATTTAGTGGAGCGCTGGCCCGCTCTAAGGAAGCTGGCCCATGTACCGAAGTCGTCCATGCGCTCAGCTGCAGTAAGTCTTCATCAGAGAACGTCACGTGGTCAGAGGAAAGGACGAAGAAACAGCAGAGATAGTCACTGCAGCCAAGTCTCCAGTAGCAGCCAGCGGAAACATGTGAACACCCAGTACCAGGGAAATCGTTAAATAAACAATGGTACATCTCAACGATGGAAGAATGTAGACACTTAAATACTGAAGTGTTCCAATGACATGGAAAATTCCTCTGATGCCATGTACTGCTGGGCAAATAGAAACAGTCGAGACTGTTCTGCATCTCAAAATGCAGCTAAACGCTCAGCCACCGCTGCTGAGGTCAGTCTTCTAGACGGGGGGTGGACAGCGGCTCCTCCCCACCGGGTGCCTCTTCTGCGCCTTTCCTGGTTCCATGACAAGCAGACACACACTTCTACCAGCTCTCCCCACACCCACTCACTCTTCCCTCCCATATAAGGAACAAACAAAACCAATTGAATATAGGTGAATAAAAATGTAATAAAGTCAGGGGGATGGGCCCGACTCATTCTCAACATGGGAATGGAAAGGAGGGAAGGACAGGGTCCTGGGCCTAATTCAGAGCGATGCTGCGCTGGTGAATCCTGCAGGGATCTCAGTTAAGACCTGTCCTGAAAAAAGAACGAGGCGCCCAGCCGGGGCAATGTGCAGCTTTAAAGTCTGAGAGGGACAGGGTCCTGTGGGTGAGGCCCCATGCCAGCTTGCAGGGCGCCTCCTCCAGCCGCCGGGAGCCACCACGCAGCGGCTCCCTCGCAGGGTTTATTCAGGTGCTGCGGGCTTCACTGTGTGTCCTCCCCCCGAGACTCTAAGTTCCCTAAGGGCAGCCGTGCTGCTGTTCCCTCCGGGCAGGCACACCGTGGGTCCTCATTCTCCTCTGCGTGAATGAACATCCTCCACAAAGTCTGACGAATTGTTCACACGCCACAATCCTCTTGAACTGTCACAAAGGTTGTATCAGTAAGTTACTTAACACAAAAGCTGCCTACAGCAACTTCTTTAAAATCAGCTTTTTCTACAGGTATAGCCAGAATTTTTCTTGGTGGGGGAGATGAGGCTATCTGGTGTCGGGAGAGTGTGAGGGACAGTCTCCTGTTTCACTAGGTAGAGTTAGATGGCGATGCACTGTCTCTGAAGGGCCTTTGATTTGGTGATTCTGTTTTTCGGAACTGCTCCTAAGGAAGTGACGAGACATGTAGGTGTTCCCTACATGCCCTACTCTGTAGTTTTAGTAAACTGAAAGCAACTTACACGCCCAGCATTGGGGAAATGGTCAAACAAATGACACTGCATTTATTCATATATCCTGGAATGTAATGCTTCCATTAAGACGTATGCTTTTGAGAATATTCAACATGATGGAATAATGTTTTTGATGTAATGACAATAAAAAAACAGAAAATAAAACTACATGTGAGGTATGACCCCAACTGTATATAAAAGAGGAACAGCTCAAAGAAAGTACCTTAAAGAGCTAATAGCTCTGCGTAGTAGAATTATGGGTCATTTAAAAACTACTTCTCTGTGTTTCCAAATTTCCTACAATGAATTCATGTTATTTATAGGATCAGGAAAAAAGTGCTGTATCCATTGAAAGTAAAACTTGAAAGACATTTTTTCCTCAACATTAGTCATCTAGGAACTGAAAAATCAGTTTGTGTCTTTGCCAGGTTCTCAATAAAACGGAAGAGAAATACTATCAGTTTGCTTCCCAAATTGACCTCATTTAAATTATGACAGCTCAAGAACCGATACACATCCAAAATGCTTAACCTAAAAATTATAGGTACTGACTTCTCAGAACAATAAAAGTTTCTAGTTTAAGTAAAAGAGCTTTTTAAATGTCCACAATCTCCCATGCATCGTTTTATTCTTAAAGAGCATGACAGGGACATCCGAGGTGCCAGGCCCGTGAGGGCAGAGGGGGGTGGCAGGCGGCCACGTAACCTCCTGCAGCAATGCCAGAACCCCTCGCAGCAGCCCCAACAACAAGATGCATGACCCAGAATAAGTCTGGAGAATGTTTTCAGAACAAATCTCTCCTTTATGATGTAGACTAGCCTCTGTGTAAGTCACAATGGCCACCGTCTGCACACTAATATTAAAGTGTTAGACTGACATCCACATGCAAGAGAAAAAAATGTCTTAATCCCTACTTGACACTAATCACAAAATACCCAAAATGGATCACTAACCGTGATATAAAACCTGTATCTATAAAACTTTCAGAAGAAAATATACGGCAAACCCGTTGTGATCCTGGGCAAAGAATTTGTATCCACGATCCCAACAGCATCATTCATAAAAGCAAAAAAATGGGTAAAAAACTTTGCTTTTTGAAAGATACTGTTAAGAGGATGCAGGATGAGAAAAGAAAGGGTCTGTGAAATGTCTCTCCTGAAGTGAGAGCAACTCCGGACACCGCGGTCATTCTTACGCTGTCCTTGATGAAGTGTCTGTTTACGTATTTTGCTCATTTTTTACCGGTGTGTTTGATTCTATTGTTATTCGGGGGCATTTACAGCAAGTCAACAAGTCAATTATACTTCATTAGACTGTTTAAAAAATTAACTTTGAACTTAGGCTAAAATTTTTTTACGTAAAGAACCCAATGACACAGTTTCTCTGCTGTGTGATCAAAACTCCAACTCCCTCTCCTGCCCTCTGTTAGGGCAATGAGCCCTGGGTGGTGGGGGAGGTCACTGCACCCAGCAGAGTGCCCAGAGGGCGTCAGGGGCACTGGGCTGAGCGCAGGTCTCCCGGCCTCCTGGCTGCCCTGGCCTCACCTCTTCTGCATGCTCTGTGGGGCCAAACTTCAGTCGCAGACTTTCTTCAAACGCCTTGTCTATCCAGTAGAAGAGGACCTCTGCGCTCTCTGTAGCCACCAAGACGCACTTCATCTGCCCGGGAGAAGCAAGACCAAGGTCACCTCCCAGTGCCCACACCCAAAAGCTCAGCGTGAGAGACACCGGGATGCCCAGCCCAGCCCAGCGCAGACACCCAGGGAGCCCTCTCTGCGGCCAGGCTCCTCCCTCCACAGGAGGCTCCCGACTTGGTTTCTGACTCGGTTTCCGTGAGGCTCAGCTGCACAACAGCCCGATGAAGCAGGGTCTGCAGCTACTCCCACTCACAGAGTAGGACACTGGGCTCCAAACCCAGGCCGGTCTGGTGCCGCTATCAGGGTGTCTGATGCCATACTGGGGTTCTTCCCCATGTTATCTTGTCCCTCCCCCCACATCATCAGACCCGGAAGGAAGGATCCAGTTCTTGGTCTGGACACAGCTGGTCAGCCGCACAGGCACACAGGCTCCAGGGAGACAGTCAGTGCCATGTCTGGCACTGGGGACCCGCTCTGGGCAGCCTCGAGAGGTTTTTCTTCTCCAGTCCAACACTTTCGAAGCCCATGAGGAGTCAGTTCAGAAATCTCATGCACAAGTTGCTCCTGCTCTGACAGGAGCAGGACTCGTGACTGTCCGTGAACCTTTCCCACCCCCACGAGCCCCCTGCACGGGTGTCCTGCACCTGAATTCCCCCCATCACCCACACTCCTACCCTCTGTGCCATACATTTTCTCTCTGAATTACACAAAATGTGATTTCTTATTCACAACGGGTAGCGTTTTAGTCCAGAGCGTCCCACTCCGTGCCTGGGCTCGTGGGGTGCAGCAAGCCATTCATCTTCTAGACCCTTGGGTAAGGGCCGCCTGACCAGCCCAGTGACACCTGCAACAGGGGCTCATGGCCTCTCCTGTCCCTCTGTGTGCTGCAGAGAGAGGGTCTGGCTGTCTGTGTGCTAGAATGGCAAGCAGGCAGCTCTGCTCTTACTCGTGGGCAGTGTCCATGTCTCATCACAGGATCAAGGCATCTCCAGGGCCTGGACATAGTCACTTGTCAGGACTCCCTATGTGACCAGCTTGTTAGTTGAGACAGAGCTTAGAGATTTAACAGGTCTTTGTGATTGGCCTGGATGCGTGGGAGGCAGAGAGAACAGGCACAGTGACAGCAGGGAGCAGGGATGGGACATGGAGGGTGTGAGTGGGCTCCTCAGCCTGTGTGTCCACTGCCTGCCTCCCTCGGCCCCTGGCAGGCAGGATCATCTACCTTGGCAAGGAGCACAGTGGAGCTTCCAGACAGCCAGAGGTTCAGAAAGGGCCGCAGTAGACAGTCTTGGTGACCAACTCATGGAAGAACAGCTTAACTTCCTGGGCCCTGCAAATGCTTAGAACAGGTGGTCATGAGCACAGGCTGAGGCTCTTGTCCCGAATACTGCTGGTTCCTGCAAATGGACAGGGTGGGGAGGGACTGAGTGGGTAAAAGTCTCTCTGATCAGAGTACACTTCCCATGGGCACAAACTGTCAAGTGTCCTCTATGCCACTGGTCCCTCTGGACATGGGGGTCACAAAACATTTGTGGTCAGCAAATTTCTCCTGGCACCCCCAGGAAGCTTGCCATGTGAGGGGCTGTAGGAAGCTCATGGTGCACCACTGGAAGAAAAGCAGCTGCAGTGAGTGGGAGAAAGGGTATCCTGGCAAGAGGTGATACACAGCAGTAGAGTGAGCCCAAAAGGCTCTCCAGACCTGGCTGGAGTTTTGGCTTTCCAGGAACAGCGTCTGTCCCACCTTCCTGCAGCGTTAGGGGAGAATCTCAGTAACCAGGCAGGACATGCCCTTGCAAGCTCTGCTTTCTTAAATAGGGGTGCAAGGGTAAGAGGATAAACTGAACTGGTTCCAGAACCACTCATATTTTGTAAGAGGATAAACTGAACTGGTTCCAGAACCACTCATATTTTGATGCTTAATGGCAAGAACAATACAAAGCTTTAACTTCATTAAGAAACCAAAAGTGTGAGCAAAAAAGAGGCAGTGGGGTGGGCCGGGTCCCAGCACCTTTGTGTGGATACTTACTACATGACTGACTTTAACGCCACGTTCACAGGAAAATACTTTTTACTGGACCTCAGGTTCTACTTTTTGTATTCCAAATACCTGTTGAAAAGCGAAGCTCATCAGTATCATTTCTGACTTCCCCATGCCCTCCACCCAGCTGTAAGAGGGAACACGGGACTGGGTGGAGCTGCAGATGGGGCCAGGCCAACCTGGGGGGACGCGCCAGTGCCCACTTTCAACCTCGGCTGCCGCTCCTCCCAGCAGCTCAGTCTTGGGGGCCCACCACCCCCTCAGGGCTGCTCCCTCCCCACTGCTGGGCAAGCAGGGGACCCAGAGTGGGAGGCCCACAGCACGAGAGAGCAGTTTGCACGGCGGGGTCCCTGTCTGCGGCGCTCGGGGCCCCCTTCCTCTTTGCCCCGCCCGCAAGTTTAAGCAGTTTCACCCCCTGGGAACCCGGATCTCACAGTTGCCCTAGGAAGAGAACACCCGCCCTCCTCTGTGGAAGCAGAAAGTGGTTGCAGAAGGAGCGGCGGG